ACAACAACATTGTTTGGAAATGGAAATAGACCAGCATTATGCCTCTGGATGCGCCTTTAATTCTAACAACAATAACACACTGAAATAAATCGGAATCTAGATATGTCATTTTTTCTTAAAATAAGTGCATTTGTTCTTAGATTGAGGAGGTGAAAGAGACATCTTGCCAATGGAACAAGACAATTTACATTTAAGATAAGAGAAAACAATTTAATTCTCTTATTTCAAGTGCATATTATCTAATTATTTTATTTTAAGAGTAAAAATACTCCTTCCATTGGCAAACTATCTCATTTACCTACTAAAATAAAGGGTAAAAGCAGTAAATTTAGGAAATGTTTACTTATTTCTAGATATTTTTTCCACTGTATAAGGATAGAGTCAGGAAGTCAAGAAACCAACCGATTTGAATAAGCTTGACCCTTTTTGATTGGAGAAGTGGCCCAATTAAACAAAACTTTATTGATAGCAAACATAATTTTTTTTCAATTCAATAAAGAAAAAATAAACCAAAGATCAGTGAGAACACTTATCTCCAAGCTTCAACCTTTAGGTGTTAACTGGTTGTGTCTTTTATTGAAGTTAAATGTGGCTTCAGAAGCAGGGCTGATGTTTTTCTAACCGTCTTTTCTCTCCTGAACATTCCAGTGTGTGCTGTACCTGTGGTCACTGAAAATCCTCTACCCAAAGACGCTTTTTCTTCTACGAGGAAACCATGAATGTAGACATCTGACAGAATACTTTACCTTCAAACAAGAATGTGAGTTTTTGTCTCTGTTTGCGCCCATCACATTACATGCACATGCTTACCTACTCATGGGACAATGTCTCTCCAACATGCAGCGCTTAAGTTAATTTAGATGTCTGCTTTATTTGCTTTATTTTTTACTTGTTCAAACAGGACTACTGGGAACAATGTTTTATTAATGGCTTGTAGAAAATATAAAGCCGCCAGCTGGAGCCTGAGAAAAAAATCAACATGTTCTTCAGTTGAGAAGAATACGCCAAAGCAGGGAGGGTTTTAGAGGACTGTAGATGGCTTCAGAGAAAAGGAGAGATGAATTTTAATCGCAGCAGGATATATAGGGACCCATCACATGTCATCAAGGGAAGAGGAGCTATGGGTTTTGGATGAATGATGCAGAAATAAGAATTAAGATTGTAGGAATCAGGGAAGATGTAAGGTGACAGGAGTGAGCCGAGGTGGGTAGAGTAACTAAAAGTTTTACTCAAGTAAAAGTAGCACTACTTCAACACTTTTTTATACAAGTTAAAGTAAAAAGTAATAATCTAAGAAATTACCCAAGTAGGAGGAAAACAGTATTTATTTATTGTTATTAGACAATTTTTGTGCAGGTTCTGGTATCTTTTCCAGAACCTGGTAAAATGATTAAAAAGGGTTTCCACAGATCCTTAAAAAGTCTTTAATAGGCATTGAATTCTTCAATAGAAAACCTAGGCCTCAATCAGTATTAAAATGTCTTAAATCAGTCCTTTATAAGTCTTAAAATTCCTACCATGACATATATAGTATTTCATTTTTGGAATCCATCTAAAACATAATAATTGATCATTTTACATTTACTGAACGACTTGCTTTAACCATTATTGGTTTTATCCTGATAGCGGAACAAATAAAAACAATGTTCCGGGCAGACCTTGGGTTGATAAGCCACCAACATGGGGAAGTGTTAGATTCAATGAAAATGGGCTATCCAGCCAAGAATTTTCTGCATGACTTAAGCCAGAACCAGGGAATGTATACGAGGCAGGGTGTATTTTGTGCAACAAGTCATTAACGCTCGGCATGATGGGAATCGAGGCAATGGAGTCACACGTGCGAAACGTGAAAAAGCGACATCCTCAGTGATATCTAACGGTCAGGCTGCAGACTGCAGCGACGTGACCCCCCATCTAACAATACAGAGGCCTTCATGGTGAAATAATGGATTCCAGAAAATCGGCAACATGTCTCTCACTCTATATAGATATATCTATATATAGAGAATGTATAGACACCTAAGAACAACCTAAAAAAATTAACTAAGAGGTTTTTTATCATCAATTTGTTCATTATTAGGATAGTACCACAAAATTCATGATGGGATTTTAAGGCCGTACCGCCCAGCCCTAATAAATGACGTGTATAAATTGATGAAATGAGAACCTTTAAGGTTCATGTTTTCTTTTCTGTATGACCTTATAGAATATTACAGGAGAAACATTTCACTGGGAACAGGAACATGTATTTGATCGGCTTCATCTCCTCTCTTCCTTCCCTCTTCCATCCTCCCTCTTTGTGTCCCTCCTTTCCCACACTGCCTCGTCTCTCCATCCATCCCTCTCTCTTCAATCCTTTCCTCCCTCTGCGTATCTCATGGCTATGCCTCCTCCGCCGCGTAGTTTCGGCATCCTGTCCGAGTGTGGGTGATTAGCAGCAAATTAATTTGGCCCTTAATGATTGGCTCAGGGACTTGCTCCTCTGTGTCTGATTGGCCAAGGGACGAGGAAGCTAATTTCCCCCGGTGCTCATGGCGAATAGTGGTTGCCCTCAATTACCATCTGCTATGTGTGTGAGTGTGTGTGTGGGGGACAAGTGCGTGCGCAGTGACTGCATGGGTTTATGCATGTGTCTTCATAAATGTTTGAGTGTGTGGAAGGAGCTGACAACTGGTGGACTGGCAATAATGAGCTCTTGCTCTACACAAGGCAGATGGAGAGGATGACAAACACACTAGCCTAGCCTAAAATACCGACGTTTTCATGTCTTTCCCTTCTCCTTTACTGTTCCATCAATCTCCCACTGTTCTCTTTATCTTTTCTTATCTCTCTCCTCTGCTCCGTTTTAAGCTATTTTTAATCCTGTTTTGTGTCAGATGGATTGTTACACCCGCTTGTGAAATATTCTTAAAAAGATACTGCGTGGAGTTAGGATGTTGATTTTGTTTGGTCACACCTTTTTGCTGCTTGAAGCCTTTATTTGGGTCAGTGGTGTTTTTCTGTGGAGGGTTTTATTCCCGGGCTCCATTGTAAGCGTATTCATACGCCTTAAAAATTATCACATCTACACTGCAAAAACGATCCAGAAATAAACAAAAATTTCCCTAAATTAAGTGTATTTATCCTTAATTTTAGCAGGTAAATACCATAATCTGCCAATGTATTTTTACTTAAAATAAGATAATCAGATGAAATACACTTGAAATAAGACAATGCAACTGATTTTTTTTATTTTCAATGTCAATTTTCTTTTTCCATTGGCAAAGTTTCTCACTTACCTCCTCAATTTAAGACAAAATTGACCTATTTAAAATAAAATGACTTATTTAGATTGCTATTTTTTGCAGTGTAATTGCATTAAAGACTAAAATTTAAATTTTAGTTTTTACGTGGGATTTTTTTAGGGGAACAACACACAGTCTTAAGTAAATATTAAATAAAAGGACTGAAAGAAAGTTTTTCTTTCTCATTTGCAGCTCAGCTCAAACTCACTTAGATCTGATCAGTGTATTCTCATTATGAGTTCTTATGAAATCGTACGAACAGTTATGCACCGTAATTTCGTACGTTTTGGATGTTTTTCTCGTCGTATGCGCATGCGCATCTGCGCACGAACATAGAATATAAATTAGAATTAGCCCTAACCCTGACCATAAGCCTAACCCTAAGATATAAAACAGCAAGCAACGTAGTTAGAGACATGAATAAGTGATGATTGCACTGTTTTTCCCAGTTTTACGTCCTTCCGCGGATCTGCCTTTTTTTTCTGTCTGCCGGCGCATGCGCACTGATCTGGTTTTTTGAGGAAAAACGTCCAAAACGTACGAAATAGTGTGCATAACTTTTCGTACGATTTCATACAAACTGATAATGAGAATATGTTGATTTGATTGAGAGTCGCCCTGTTCCCATTCAACTGAAATAAGAATTTTAGGTGAACCTTTAAAAGGTCGGAAAAAAGCAAATGCCAGTTTGCAATGTTTCAAATCGGTCTGAAACGAATTAGCCAAGCACCGTAAAAGCGTTCAACGTTGTCATCCATATTAAATTGTGATGCATGGCTGTAGTAAACAGGAAGTAGAAGCTGCAATCTAGCACTGACCACAGATCAGTAATGGAGGAAATTCTTATTGAATTGAATTGTTAGTATTGGCGCTGCTGCTTCCAGCTATGTTCACGATCATAATCCAGGAAGACATCAGAAACACCTGATCAGATGTATGAGTAAAAGTTTACAACATCAAAGCTGATTCAAAAAAAGTCTTTCCATCCCTAGTTTTACGCACAAATTCATTTTCCTAAACGCCAAAAGAGCGTAACACCTTTTTTTGCGAATTTCAAGTAATTTATTTGAATTTTGCATTTTCCATCAAGCTTTTTCAATGCGATATTTCAAAATGCGCATCAGAAAAAGCTGATGGAAACACACTTAGTATCTATGAGCAGCAGTTTTCCTAGTCTTTTTAAGATTAACAATTAGGTGTCGGTCTGGACTTTGACTAGGCCACCACACCCTTCTAAGCTATAGGAAGATCCATCCTCCATTCCAGTATGGATTCAGTTCCTCCTAGATTTAGCTTCATTGATCTTCTAAATCTGAGCAGGTAAATAAGTTGATCTGCCAATCGGATTAATTTTTTAGCTTTAAGAAGAGTTAGTTAGATATTATGCATTTAAAATAAGATAACGGAGCTATTTTTTAAAGCATTTTAAACATGAATGTTCTTATTCCATTGGCAATTTGTCTTATTTTTTTGCCCAAATCAAGGGAAATTACAACTATTTTTAGAAAATTTTACTTACCTATATTTCAGTTTTTGCAGTGTAGATGTCCCCTTTTTTGCTAATCTTCCATAAAAAGTAATAAGTGTAATAACTCATGCTGACAGATTCTTGAGCTGTGGATCTCTGCAGCTTCTCTAAGGATACCAATCCTCTCCTTGCATCTTATTTTAGGTTGAGAGTTTTGCTTTTTAACAGACTATTTGCTAATTAGGTAATTTTGAAGTCAAGTGTTTGTGCTGGATTTATTTTCGATAATTGAATTTTAAGAGGATAAGTGGAGGGAGGGGGATGGTGATGTAGAAAAGAGCTCCAAAAACAAACAAATATAAGTATGGGAAAATTTGTGGTTGCAACAGAAGTTAAAAGGTTGTGAATAATTTTGCAAACACTCTATTGGCTGTAGGAATATGAAGGCATTTTAATGCTGCTACACAAGCTGCTGCCAGAAGTAATCATTTAATGAAAGAATATCAAAGTGGTGCAGATTTCCAAGCATGCTGGGCCTTTAAAAACCTGCCAGTGTTAACTCAGGGCCACTAGCTTTGTTATTGCTGAAACATCCATGTACTCCTCTGGCCTCCAGGTAAGATCAAGTACTCGGAGCAGGTGTACGATTCCTGCATGGAGGCGTTTGATTGCCTTCCTCTGGCGGCGCTGATGAACCAGCAGTTTCTCTGTGTGCATGGGGGGCTTTCACCGGAAATCCACACGCTGGACGACATCAAGAAGGTACGACAGAAGCCAAACACCCTCAGGCAGAATGTAACATCAATGATAGCCAATGACATGAATCCTGTTGCTAAAAAGTTATGAAACCCTGCAGGCTTTTTATTTAAAAACTTTACAACTGTAATGATATTTTGTAAGTCTTGTCCTTCCAACTGTTTACTATTAATTGATTCAACAATGTTCGGTCAAACAACATCCACCTAAAAATCACCTCATTGCATAGCAATTATTCATGTGAATTCAGTTTATTTGCCAAATCTCAACATAAGTCATCGTAAAGCACTTAACTGTCAATCAAATCATCCACACATTAAATGAATGATTTATATAATTCAATATTAAACTATATCATTCATCTG